TGTCAAAAATCAGATGGGCCAGACACGTAATATGAGTCAGAGATGATGGCTGGACTAGAGCTTTTACTGACTGGATTCCACAAGACATCAAAGAAAGCCTGACACCCACCTACGAGATGGTCAGACTTCTTCATCAAGACCCTGAACGAATGATTTGAGGCTCTTCATATTCCTGGAGTGAGCAGATGCCATTGGGCTGCACTAGCTCATGACAGGGATGAATAGAGATATTACTGGCACCCACTTGAGCAAATTGATGAGCAACAGGATGACAAGTGATACAAGTAAGTTCTATCAAACATTCAAAGAAAATTTCTCCTCAAGCTTTCTGAAAATAATTTTTCAAAGAATTCTAACCATATTTTATGAAGTTAACATTCACTTGATCACTTGACATCCCGTTATTCATCCATTCACTCGAGCAGGCGCCAGCAACGTCTCCATTCATCCCTATCGCGTGATAATGTAGCCCAATGGCAAGGAACACAAAGAGCATCAAATCGATCATTCAGGCTCTTGACAAAGAAGTCTGACCATCTCATAGGTGGGCGGTCACATGACCTATTGATGTCCCGTGGAATCCAGTCGGTAATGGCTCTAGTCCAGCAGTCATCTCATTATGTGTACAGCCCATCTGATTTTCGACACCTTGGCAAATGAGACAGCGTCCCTGATTCTTGACAGTCGGCAAAGGTCGGAACTTCGAATTCTTTCTCTCATTTGAGTGAAGCGTGATACTCCAAGCATAGGTCTTTCGATTCCTCTTTGGGAGACCCGAATAGCGTTCTCATCATGTTTGCATAGGGCCCAGGTCTCTGAGGCGTATGTTAATGCAGGAAGAAGACTGGAATCGAAGAGATGTGCCCGGAGCTGCTCCTAGAGAGCCAGGAAAGCAGAACTCTGTGACCTCAGACTCCAGGCTCAGCGAACCCAGGAGCAGAGATCCTCTGCCTGCTCCCAGCAGCCTGGCAGACATCCATTACTTCCACTACCTCCACTACCCAGCCACGGACAACCTCCAGGACGCTTTCCGGACACTTAGGCCAGGACTCACACAGGGGTAAAGCCCCAGAGAGCCAGGGAAGCGGAACTCTGTGACTTCAGACTCCAGGCTCAGCGGACCCGGGAGCAGAGATCCTCTGCCTGCTCCCAGCAGCCCGGCAGACATCCATTACCTCCGCTACCTCCACTACCCAGCCGCAGGAGACCTCCAGGATGCTTTCCGGACCACGCGGCCACTTTGCAGCAGTGCTACACATCATAAAACACTAAGTACAAGATTACCGCACCATATTTGAATGTGCTGAAATATGATTTGAAGCATGAGAACACCTGTATGAGCGATTAGAGGCTGCCCTAAAAGCCTCTATCCCTCTGGAAGAGCCTGGCAAGCTTCTGAGAGTGTTTTGCCCACATGGCAGAGCCTGGCAAGCTACCCGTGGTGTATTCTATATGCCAAATCTAGTAAATACAATGGGTCCCATTCCCCTGACCCTGAAAGAGCCACAAATATGGCAGCATTAAGAAAGATGAGGAAGGAGAGACTCATAAAATCTCAGGGCCAACCTAGGCTGCCAAAACGAAGAAGGACAAAAATGATTGTCTGTACTTTCAATGCACGTATGCTGGCATCGGATGAATTTATTGAGGACTTGTTGGTGCAAGCGCGAAAGATCAAGTATGACATCATTGGTCTGACTGAGACGAGAAGGCATCAATCACATCATGCCGTTTTTGACACTGGGGAAGAACTGTTCCTGGGAACATGCAGTAAAAGAGGTGTTGGTGGTGTCAGTGTCCTTGTCAACACGAACTTGGCCATAAACGTTGATTCATTCGAATGCCTAACTACCCAAATTGGACGATTACACTTGAATAGATGTGGCTCATTGCCGGCAGTTTCTGTCTTTGTTTCCTACGCACCAACATCCAATAATGATCAATAAGAAATTAGAAGTTCTACATGGAGCTGGAGAAGTTCTATAAAGAAGACCACACCTTCAACATGATCATTGTCGGTGATTTTAATGCCAAGATAGGACCGAGAAGATCAGCCGAGGAACTCCACATCGGGACCCATGGCCTAGAATGGAACAAATAGGGTGAGAGGCTGTCTGAGTTCATCATGTCTACCAAGACCATCCATGGTAACTCACAATTCCAGAAGGCCGAATCTAAACGTTGGACATGGGAGTCTTCTGGTGGACGGTTCCACAATGAAATTGACGACATCATATTCAATCGACAGTTTTGCCTGACCAATGTCGCTATTGTCCCAAAATTCCAAACAGGATCAGACCATTGAAGTTAACATTACCCTGATGTAAAGTTAGACAGAAACTCTACCCGAAAAGAAAACTAAAGCTCATTCTCCTTGTTGGATATAGATAATCAAATATCCTCCACAAAATTTTAGTGAACTAAATTGAACACTATACTGAAAGAGTAATAAATCATGACCCAATGGGATTTATTTCAGAGGGACAGGGCTGGTTCAACACAACTGATACAATGCACCAAGAAAAGGGGGGAAATTATAAGTCAGATAAGATTTTTTATAAGATTCAACATCTGTTAATAATAGAAATGTTCATTAAAATGGGAACTGAAGGAACATACCTCAACAAAGCAAAGCTCATAGGAAAAACCTACAGTTAGCATCATAATTGTGAAAGACAGCAAAAATCTTTTCTCTTAAGATTAAGCACAAGACAAAGATGTTCATTCCCACCACTACTATTCAACATGGAGTTAAAAGTCCTGACCACAGCAATCAGACAAGAAAATGACTGGCCCACATCCAAAAGAACAAAAGCAACCTGTGTTGGCATGGATGTGGCGAGAAAAGGACCCTCTTTCACTGCTGGTGGGAATGCCGACTGGTTCAACCCTTTTGGAAAATAGTATGAACGATTCTCAAAAAATTAGAAACTGAGTTCCCATTTGACCCAGTAATACCACTCCTGGGAAAATACCCCGGAAAGGCAAAAAAGTATAGTCAAAGTGACATCTGCACTTGTTTGTTTATTGCAGCACTGTTTACAATAGCTAGAATATGAAAAAAACCTGAGTGCCCGAGAACAGATGACTGGTTAAAGAAAATTTGGTACATCTACACAACGAAGTACTACGTAGCAGTTAGAAAAAATGAAGTCATGAAATTTACATACCAGTGGTATTACATGGAAAATATCACGCTAAGCGAAATGAGCCAGAAAGAGAGGGAGAGACATAGTAAGATTGCATTCATCTGGGTAACCTAAAGTAACAAATTAAGAGACTAACACCCAAGAACAGCTGTGATAAATACCAGGAGGTTCACTCCATGGCTTCGAGGTCAGCCGCACACTCTAGGGGTAAAGGCAGCTCAGATAGAGAAGGGAGCAACAAATAAAGGGTGCCCATCTGGGAAGATCCGCCCAGGATGGGAGATGCATGCTGAAAGTAGACTATAGACCGAACATGATTGCCACCCAATGCCTCTTCTGCAAACCACAGCACCCAAAAGGAGAGAGAGAACAAAAGGGAATGCCCTGACACACAGGCAGGGTGGGATGGGGGAGAAGGGGGCTGGGAGGGATACTGGGATTAATGGTGGTGGAGAATGGGCACTGGTGGGGGGATGGGTACTCGATCATTGTATAACTGAAACCCAAGCACAAAAACTTGTAAGTCGACAACTGTATCTCATGGTGTTTCACTAAAAAAAGAAAAAAAAAGAAACCTAAAAACAAAGATACCAAACTCATTTTCCTGGGTCAGTAATACAATATTTTGTTAAATAAAAGAATATTTATAAAATTTTATTAAAAAGGATCTAAATTGTAAAAAAACAGTAGAATTATCACTATTTGAAAATGACATATTTTGTATTTAAAAATCTCTACTACAGTCTTGACTAAAAATGTAGTAGAAATAGTACAGTAAAGAAAGATATAGCCTATTAAATCAATAAACAAAAATATGCTGTATTTCTATATGCCAGCATGAACTAGAAGAAAAATTTTGAATCACATTTATATTTACATTTGCATCTGAAAGAAATATGTACAGTAATAGGGATTTCTTTATAAAATTCATGAGTTCAAGTAATTAATAGGAAAGCAAATTGCTTGGTAAGTTCATGCCACCATTATATTGCAATCAAGATGATTATGATGATGACACTGCTGCTGCTAATATACCTAAAGTCTAAATAATTCTATTAGTAATATTATAAGAATTGATAGTATTATCTGCTTCCTATCTGGATCTATATTTTAATAATCTGAAAAAGCTCGAGCGGGCCCAGTAACGTCTCCATTGGAGACTTTGTTGTTACTGTGTCTGGCATATCAAGTACTCTAGGTAGCTTGCCGGGCTCTCCGAGAGGGGCGGAGGAATAGAACTTGGGTCAGCCATGTTGGCCGCTTAGTAAGGCGAATGCCCTACCCGCTGTGCTATCGCTCCAGCCCATGTGAGGTCCTTTGCCAAATAGCCCTCCTCATTTCTTGTATCTAAAACAGACTTTGGTAAATGTTCAGTTGGAATCAGAGAAAAGACCAAAGAGCTGGAATTTTTTTTAAAGATTTCATTGATCAGAGTACTTGAAATGATTCCTAAAAGATTGGATTTCCAAGAACTGAGAGAAACCTACCCCCTCAACCAACCCCACCGTTATCCCCCAGCCAAAGTGTTATGCCATATGCTTCGGAACATTGCCTTGCATTTCTTATGGCAGACTTGTCAGGTCACATAGCTAATCAGGGATTAAAACTCTTAATACAATTAAAAAGACTTATTTTCATGATATTCTTATTCTTTGATAGTTATAAAATCATAATAAAGTATGATTATTGTAACTTTAATGTCTTGGTGGGTGAGAAGCTTCTAAATATTTCATTTGTTTTCAAAGAATAATTTTTGTGTGTTTCCTAGGTTATGCCCTTAATTTACTTATCACAGTTTATACTGAATTATGTATTTGTTTTTTTATAAAATTCCTGTTCTTTTTTAATTAGGTGTAGTATCTTTGTTGAGGCCTCTTCTTCTGGATGTGGTCCCAACAATTCAGCAGACGGCTGCTTTGGCTCTTGGGAGACTGGCGAATTATAATGATGATCTTGCAGAAGCAATTGTGAAAGGCGACATTCTTCCACAGCTTGTTTATTCAATGGCGGAACAGAATGTAAGAGTTGTTTAATAATATATGTGTGTAGTTTTGTAGTTAATACAATTTTTTTAGTTTAGGTACAGTTGCAAACTTAGAAGCATTAGAACTATTAGGATGTTTTTACAACTTTCTGCTTTGAATTGTACATGTAACTTTTTAAAAAAAATTTATTAGTGAAACACCATGGGGTACAGTTGTAGACTTACAAACTTTTGTGGTTGGGTTTCAGTTATACAATGATTGAATACCATCTCTCCACCAGTGCCCATTCTCCACCACCAATGATCCCAGTACCCTCCCACCCCCCGCCCCTATCCCACCCATCCCACTCCACCTCTGTGGCTGGGCATTTCCTTTTGTTCTTTCTCTCCATTTGGGTGCTGTGGTTTGCAAAAGAGGCATTGAGTAGCAATCATGTTCAGTGTATAGCCTACTTTCAGCATGCATCTCCCATCCTGGGAGGATCCGCCCAATCCCCTTTATTTGGTGCTCCCTTCTCTATCTGAGCTGCCATTTCCCCTAGCATGCACATGTAACTTTAGAAGATTTTACTTTTGGGTACATATGAAATTATTCTCCATAATGCTAATATAAGGAGAAAAATATTTAAAATACGGGGCTGGAGCGATACTGCAGCGGGTAGGGTATTTGCCTTGCACGCGGCCAACCTGGGTTCAATTCCCAGCACCCCATATGGTCCTCTGAGAACTGCCAGGATTAATTCCTAAGTGCAAAGCCAGGAGTAGCCCCTGCACAACACCAGGTGCGACCCAAAAAGCAAAAAAAAAAGATAAAAATATATAAAATAATATATTTTAAGGGAATTATACATAAAATATCGCTCCTGTGAAGGTGGAAGTATTTGACTTAGAGGCTCAATATTAGAAAGATGTATGGATCCCTAGGCAAATAAGTTACAAATAAGTAATGGTACAGCAGGTACTGAGGTTCTGCACACAGGGACCATTCTAGTTAGTGAAACTGTAATATATAACATTTGAAGCAGAGGCAGAGAAGCAGGGTTATGGTGCTGCTAGCAGGTCAATCTATACCTGTGAGGCGAGTGAAACAGCAGCCTGAAGGCACCTTCAGACTCTCAGATACCCCAAAATTGCTGCTGTGCCTTTGGCCAGACCCCAGCAACTTGGGACCAAGTTTTCCAAGAAAGTAAACGGCCAAAAGATAGGTATGTGGGAGACACACCCACAAACCACCTTCGGTTCAGCTATATAATTGGAGGCATGGCCTCTCTGATTCCTGATCGAACTGCTTAATGGCCATGATCCCAGAGACTCAGAAACAAATCTCGGAACCCAATGGCTTTTGGCAGAAATGCGTCCAGTCCCTGCAGTAAGTTACAGGCGCTGGGCCACCCCAGGTGGGAATAGGTTTCATGCCTTGGACTGTTCCCCCTGGCGGCCTGGTGGCCATTGGACAGTCAGGTTTGGGCCCACAGTGACAAGACACACAAGGCCTCACGGGATGAGGGTGGAGCCGGCCCTTTCCTCCCCACTCCAACAACACCCTGAGTCACTGCCCATGAACGGCCTCTCTGGCTCCTGATCACGCTGCTTAACAGCCATGATCCCAGAGACTCAGAAACAAATCTCGGAACCCAGTGGCTTTTGGCAGAAATGCGTCCAGTCCCCGCAGTAGGTTACTGTTGCTGGGCCATCCAGGGGGAAAGGGTGCTGTCCCTTTGCCTGCTGCCCCTAGGCGACTTGGTGGCCGCCATCCTCCAGAGGCCATTGGACAGTCAGGTTTGGGCCCTCAGTGATGAGACACGTGGGGCCTCACGGGATGGGGTTGGAGCTGGCCCTTTCCTCCTTGTCCCAATGAGACCCCGAGTCGTCGCCCACGAACGGCCTTTTTGGCTCCTGATCAAGCTGCTTAACAACCATGATCTAAGAGACTCAGGAACAGATCTCGGAACCCAGCAGGTTTTGGCAGAAATCCCTCCAAATTTAATCATTAAAATTTCAGAATTTCAAAATCGTGCGGCCACTACTGCAGCCACCGACATCATATGTAACCAGGAATAGAAAACAAATTGTCTACTGTTGCCTTTTCAGCAGATCTGAGTGTTGGGGGAAAATCTCAAATAATAATGGTGGGTCTAGTGTCAAAAAAAAAGAGGCAGAGAAGCATTCACTAGAAAGGAGTGTGTAATGAAATATTTGATAAAGTATTTTTACCAAGTATTGTAGTTGTTGGTGTAATAGCTACACCAACTACTGCATTAGAGGAGAACACTGGTTATTTACATAGGGGCAGAAAGAAATACATTATGTATGGATCACAAGACAGAAAGAGGAAGGTGAATGATTACATGGGCTAGATGGGACAGAGTGTTGTGAGGTGTTGCAAGTTTCTATGAGCTAATAATGAGGTGGAACAATGAGCTTTATAGATACCACAGGTGTCAGCTTTCCTTCTCTCAAGCCCTGGCTGCTGGTGGTAACAAAGCCATGCCAGTTCCTCTGGCAACAGCTCACCCCCATCAAGGCCAGTGCTTAGAGCTTGCCCATAAGCACAACAGTCCAGGTGGTCAAGGAGCTGTGCCAGGAAGAGCTCCAAAAATGTATAATTTTTGCAAGCATGTAATTCCTTTGAAAGGTCATCTAAGAATGCCCTATTTTTTCCCCTCCTTGATGGTTCTATTTGGGATCTCCTGGATAGTGCCACCACACAACAGTTAAGAAATTTTCTGGTTTAGAGTTTGAAATCTTCATTCTATTTATAGGTATATATTTATCTTTACAATCTGATATTAGTAACTATAAAAAATTATCTGATATATGCTATATGGATGAATCTTGAAGTTGATATACTAGAAAGAAGTCAAACAAAATGGTACATATTATATGATTCCATTTATATGAAATATCCAGAGTATGTAAGCTCAGAGAAACAAGCAGAATCTCTGTGGTTGCCAGGGAGTAGAAGGAGGGAGTGAATAGAGGCTGTTCAATAGTATGGGATCTTGTTGGGATGATAGTAATACTCTGGAACTAAATACATGACAGGTCATACCATCTTATGAATGTACAGTGTCACTAAATGCCACTGAACTGTACAATATAAAGTGGTCAAAATGAACCCGAGGAGACACTTCAAGGGTTAGAGTATGCCATGAATGCTTGAGGTCCCTGAGTTCAGTTCCTGGTACTGCATGCCTACCCCCAAGCCTGAGCACTGACTCATCAGATATGAACCACCAGACTGGGATTGACCCCCCTGCTCCCTGTAGCACTGAGAAAATTCGTATAAAAAATAGGGACCAGAATGATATTTCAGCAGGTACTGAGGCTCTGTGCTCAGGGATCACTCCTGTTGGGGTGGCAGGGATTGAACTTGGGTTGTCTGCATGCAAGGCACTTGCCCTACCCTCTCCAGATAACACTTACTCTCCAGTTGCTCTGACTATCAGGTCATTTATTTTACTTTATTATTATTATTATTTTGCTTTTGGGGTCACACCCGGCAATGTACCGGGGTTACTCCTGGCTCATGCACTCAGGAATTACTCCTGACTGTGCTCGGGGGACCATATGGGATGCTAGGAATCGAACCCTAGTCGGCCTCGTGCAAGGCAAACGCCCTATCCCCTTTGCTATTGCTCCAGCCCCATCAGGTCATTTTTAATAGTAATTGTAAAGCTAGAGACTAAGAATACCTACATGAGAAACATTTTTCCGTATACAGAGTTGGGTTGTGCATGCTGACAATCTATGTTAAACAAATATCTTTTCGTGTGAAATAGACACCTAAATCTGAATTTGCAGGAATCATGCAATTGTTGAAAACTGTTTTATATTCTGTTTATTGGGAAATAAAAGAGAAAAGAAAGGTAAAGTTACTCACTCAAGAAAGACCACTGGCTTCTCCAGAGTGGAGATCCACATGCCAGTAAGGAGATGCTCAGGCAACAAGCCCCCAGCAGCAACACATCAGCACAGGACGCACATGGGTGCCTTTATTTTATACAGTTTTCAAAGGCAGTTCAGAGTAAAACATTTTAAATGTAAATGTAACAATTGTGTTTCAATTATTGTGATAAAAGTAGTGCTGCAATTTTTAAAATCATAATGATTTTGCATAGTGGTTTTCTTTTTTTTAGGGGTCACACCCAGTAGGTTCTTGCTGGTGACGCCTTGCTGGTCTCACCACCCCTGGGGGTACTGATTGGGTTGGGCTGGACTAAATTGCTGGACTAAAATCAGGGATCTGGTTAAGGTATTTACCTTGCAGACAGCTGACCTTAGTTTGATCACCAAATGATCCCCTTAGAACTGCCAGGGGTAATTCCTGAGTGCAGAGCCAGAGTAACCTCTGAATATCCATAGGGTGAGACATAAAAAAACCAACAAACAAACAACAATAAAAACTCTTGGGGTTTCACAAGCAAGTCATACACTTTGCCACTTGAGTCATATGTCCCTAGTTTTCATTTTTGTTACATATGAGCTATTGAACACTTTTTAATTTATTTTTATTTTAATTTAATTTTAATTATTTATTTATTTATTTTTGCTTTTTGGGTTACACCCAGCAATGCTCAGGGGCTACTCCTGGCTCTGCACTCAGGAATTACGCCTGGTGGTGCTCAGAGGACCATAAGGAATGCCAGGTATCAAACCAGGGTCAGCCGCTTGCAAGGCAAATGCCCTCCCTGCTGTATTATCACTCTGGCCCATGAATATGTTTTTTAAAGCTGTTAAACTTTTATATCCCTGTTACTTTTATATTGGCTTTGCCTATTTTTAATTAGGTTTTGTGAGTGCTCGAGACACATTAAATTCTGTTTTCATCGTTGTAGCGTTTTTATAAGAAAGCATCTGCCTTTGTGCTCCGCGCAGTTGGCAAGCATTCTCCTCAACTAGCTCAAGCCGTCGTTGACTGTGGAGCTCTGGATACATTAGTGATCTGCTTGGAAGATTTTGACCCTGGAGTCAAGGAGGCTGTCGCTGGGGCACTTAAAAATATTGCCAGGCATAATGCAGGTATCAGGGTTGTTTATTCGATTATAAAGTTTAGATTAGGTAAATCTGCTTTCTCTTAGTGACCACAGATGGGACCCTTAATGAGTTTTCTATACCTTATGGTGGGTAAGTTTTGAATGGTGGCCTCCTCCTTGGGATCACATATTCAGAAAACCCTGTCTGTGTCTGTCTTCATCTCAGAACCTTACCTCCCAACCAGGTGCACTGGAAGGAATTGGAAAGCACTGCCCCTTCCTCTCTGGCCACCCGTATGTCCCTTGCCATAATCTGCCCCCAGCCCTGCTAGGGGTGATCTCCACGTTGGTGGAGGGAAATTGACACTGGTGATGGTATTAGTGTTGGGAAATTATATGTAGGGATTATATACATCATTTTATATTTTCCCCGTTCCCCCTGGTTGGAGCAAGGGCAATAGTAATGAACTGCTTTTACCTTCTGTTTTCTTGCGGTTCAGGAAGTGGCAGTTAGTTCTAAAGGTGCTTCTCATGAATCTGTTACATAGTGAGGTTCATAATCCAGTCTGCTGCTGCAGTTTCTTTATCATGTTTTTATTTTTTTGGACTTTATTTGAGAGGGTAGTACCATACAATACTCGGGTTACTCCTGGCTCTGCAGTCAGGAATCACTCCTGGCAGTGTTCAGGGGACCATCTGTGATGCTGGAATCAAACCCAGGTCGGCCTCAGGCAAGGCAAACGCCCTACCTGGTGTACTATCATTCGGGCTCATAAAACTTTTTTTTTGTGATTCATTTTTCTCTTATCTATTTCTGGTTCTCAAGATTACATATTAACTTCCTGCTATATTTTACACTACATTTAAAAAATGAAAACTTTTGCAATTCAGTACAGCGTTTTGGCACATACCAGCCTTTCATTAATACTTGTTTAAGGATAGAATGAGTAAATAGTTTATATAATACAGGTACTTCTAAGGTAAAGCATAATGAATGAAATCAAACAGTGGACATCAAACTATACTTTCTTAAAAGTGTAATGTTACCCTAAGGTAAATGCTTATTTCTAAAATTATAATACAGGTACTTCTAAGGTAAAGCATAATGAATGAAATCAAACAGTGGACATCAAACTATATTTTCTTAAAAATGTAATGTTACCCTAAGGTAAATGCTTATTTCTAAAATTAAAAATGATTTTTAAAGTTTTAAATGTTCTTAAAAATTTATTTCTGAAATTTAAAGTGTTTAAGATAAATTCAATCATTTTTTTCATGCATACTAACTTTTATGCATAACAATGAATGTTGTCTGTTATAAATCTTGACTGTGAAACTTTATGTGTGAAATAAAATTACCTTTTAATTTTGTATGATGTTTATTATCTCATAATGTTATTATCTTGTAATAGATCTATAGGATGAAAAATAATATAGAATTAATTTGCCCAATATTTGTGTTTAGGTTTACTCAGGTAAATAACACAAAGTATTCATTAATTAATGTGAAATTTTGTTCTAAAATATAGAACTTGAATTTTTCTGTGATGATAAAATCATGCATAGAAGACCATGCATTGAGAGTAGAATAACTGTCAAATTATTCTACTATGTTAAGTAGTTAACATCTGCTTTTTTATTTTTATTTTTATTTTTTTATTTAATTTTTAATTTTTTAAAATTTAATTAATTAATTAATTTTTTTATTAGTGAAACACCATGAGGTACAGTTGTAGATTTACAGATTTTTGTGCTTGGGTTTCAGTTATACAATGATTGAGTACCCATCCCTCCACCAGTGCCCATTCCCCACCTCAATTGCTCCTGGAATCCTTCCCAACCCCCCGGCCCCCCCATCCCATCCCACCCCTGTGGCAAGGCATTCCCTTTTGTTCTCTCTCTCCTTTTGGGTGCTGTGGTTTGCGAAAGAGGCATTGAGTGGAAATCATGTTTGGTCTATGAGAGATGCATGCTGAAAGTAGACTATAGAACATCTTTTTTAAATCTCTTTTTTAAAAAGTAAAGAACAAGTCATTCCAGCTTAATCTAGCTCAAACATGTTCATGGAAATGAAGGTCCATCTATTGACCTATATCCTTCTCAGCCACCTGGGATCAGCCCACCTGGTTTATGAAACCGGGAAGGCTGATCTGAAATGCAGCTGGATCTGGATCTGGCAGGGTGAAAAATGGCTTGCACAAGGGTCACCAATACACCCTTAATTACTTTTCTTGGACCCACAGAACTGTCACAAGCTGTGGTCGATGCAGGAGCTGTCCCTCTTCTAGTGCTCTGTATTCAGGAGCCAGAAATTGCTTTGAAAGGGGCTGCTGCTTCAGCCCTCAGTGAAATTGCAAAACATTCTCCGGAATTGGCACAGACAGTAGTGGATGCAGGCGCTATTGCTCACTTAGCCCAGATGATCCTGAATCCTGACGCTAACTTGAAGGTATTTAAAAATAAAATTAAACAAATTAACCAGGCTTCTAATCCCAAAAAAAAGGAAATTTGTACATATTATTATTATACATTTTTAAAAATAATTATAAAATTACTTCTGCAAATATATTGGTTTATTATGTGTTTGGTCTCTTTATTAGTGAAAATTATGCTATCAGAATTATACAATGACATGATTGATAAAAAATATTTACAATATTGAAAATTAGAAGCAGCATCAATATTAGCATGAATCTCAGGGCTGCAAAACAATGAGGTTTTCTGGAAGCTTTCCCTTACTATAAATATGTAAATTTCCTTTGAAAATTGCCATGTTTATATTAGTCTTTCTTAATAACTTTCTAAAATGTAATTTTTAGTAATATCATTAAAAATATTGTAAATTACAGTACTTTAATGAAAATGGGAGAAAGTCATTACTTAGACTTTTGTTTTTAAATGGTTATAATCTGTGAATTTTAAAATTTTTTAACTAAGCAATGGAATTATATTAGCATCATGCCAAAAATAATATATCAGTAATGCTTGATAATTTTTATATAAATATTGTATATTTAAGAAATAAAATAATTCAAAGTTATAATATTAATTATTAAAAATAGTAATATTCCAAATTTCATATTCTTTGATCATCTTTAATTGCTAGAGAGTAAAATAATCAATAGAGAACAAATATATTTAAGTGTAGAAAAGGGAATTTGATAAAGCAAATATTTAGAAATAAGACTAGGATATGAAGGCCTTAAATCTGAGGCATCTTATGTCAGTGAAGTAGTTATTTTTTTCTTTTATAAATGCATTTGGCTATATGTATAAAGATGCTCAGATTACGTCTGAACTCTGCAGTGGGTTCTATATGTTTTACTTGATTTTGGTCTTTGCTTTACAGCATCAAGTTCTTTCAGCACTCAGTCAAATTGCAAAACATTCTGTGGATCTTGCAGAAATGGTGGTAGAAGCAGAGATTTTTCCTGTTGTACTTACCTGTCTGAAAGATGAAGATGAATTTGTGAAAAAAAATGCTTCCACTTTAATTAGAGAGATTGCAAAACATACACCTGAGGTAAAAAAATAAAGTAAAAGTTTTAAAATACATAATACGTAGTGAGGTTTAGTTTAGTGTAGTAAGGTCCACACATCATGGTGCTAGTAGGGTAGGAACTGGGGCCACTGCTGGTGGTCATACATACCTGATATTTTGATGCTTAACCTAGGACCAGGACCACTTAGAAGCCACCAGAGTCACCTCTGACAGTGCTCTGGGAGCCTTGCTCTGAATTTGGTACCAAGAACCAAATTCAGGGCCTCACTGTATTGGGTATGTGCTCAACGATTCAAATTACTTCCCCACTCTTTAGTTTTAGTTTTTATCAATTTTTCCCTAAGGCCCAACTGTTAGACCTTATAGTCTGGTGAGATCAGCCTTGTTCATACAAGTACCATTGATTCTTTCATATAAGACTTTCTCCTGTACTCTGCAAGCAGAATGTTTAGCAGTGTCCCCGACTTCTACACTCAACTCTCGAGGTACCCCTCTGACCAGCCATAGCTATCAAAATTATCACATGTATTTCCATACTACTGATAATACTCCCTGTTGAGTCCCTCTCATAGCATCAATGGAAATTGAGTCTGAAATATTTTATATATTGTAAAACCAATAAAGGTAACTTTAAACCTTTATTTAAATCTATTGTTTTAGATAAGTTTGGGGGAAGTAAACTATGGTAAACCTCTAGGGTAGGAGAAACCAACCTTATTCAGTATGATTACATTTTTTTTTTTTTTGGAATTCAAGGTAAACTTTCTTTTATTTATTTATTTTGTATTTTGGATTCGTTTTTTAAAATTTTTATTAGTGAAACACCATGAGTTACAGTTGTAGACTTACAATTTTTGTGCTTGGGATTCAGTTATACAATGATTGAGTACCCATCGCTCCACCAGTACCCATTCTCCATCACCCCTAATCCCAGTATCCCTCCCAGCGCCCTTCTCCCCCATCCCACCCTGTCTCTGTGTCAGGGCATTCCCTTTTGTTCTCTCTCTCCTTTTGGGTGCTGTGGTTTGTAAAAGAGGCATTGAGTGGCAATCATATTCAGTCTATAGTCTGCTTTCATCATGTATCTCCAAGCCATGGAGTGAACCTCCTGGTACTTGTCTCGGCTATTCTTGGGCGTTAGTCTTCTATGTTACTTTATGTTCCCCAGATGAATGCAATCTTTCTAGGTCTGTTCTTCTCTTTCTGACTCATTTCACTTAGCATGATACTTTTCATGTAGTACCACTTGTATGTAAATTTAATGACTTCATCTTTTCTAACAGCTACATAGTACTCCATTGTGTAGATGTACCAAAGTTTCTTTAACCAGTCATCTGTTCTCAGGCACTCAGGTTTTTTCCAGATTCTAGCTATTGTAAACAGTGCTGCAATAAACAAAAAAGTGCAGATGTCACTTCGACTATACTTTTTTGCCTCTCTGGGATATATTCCCAGGAGTGGTATTGCTGGGTCTAATGGGAGCTCAATTTCTAATTTTCTGAGAATCATCCATACTGTTTTCCAGAAGGGCTGAACTAGTCAGCATTCCCACCAGCAGTTAATGAGAGTCCCTTTCTACCCACATACGTGCCAACACAGGTTGCTTTTGTTCTTTTGGATGTGGGCCAGTCTCTGTGGTGTGAAATGATACCTTATTGTTGTTTTGATCTGTGTCTCCCTGATGATTAATGATGTAGAGTATTTTCTCATGTGCCTTTTAGTCATTCAGATTTCTTCTTTGAGAAAGTTTCTGTTCATTTCGTCGCCCCATTTTTTGATGGGGTTGGATGTTTTCTTCTTGTGGAGTTCAACCAGTGCTTTGTATATCCTTGATATCAACACATTGTTGGATGTGTATTGGGCAAATATCTTTTTCCATTCTGTAGAGTGTCTTTGTATTTTGGTCACTGTTTCTTTTGAGGTGCAGAAACTTCTTAGTTTAAGATAGTCCCATTTGTCTCTCTCTGTTTTCACTTGCTTGGCCAGTGGCGTGACATCTTTGAAGATACCATTAGCTAAAATGTCATGGAGGGTTTTGCCAACTTTGTCTTCAGTGCACCTTATGGATTCCGTTCTGATGTTGAGGTCTTTAATCCATGTTGATCTTACTTTTGTACGTGGTACTAGGCAGATATCTTAACCCATTTTTTTGCATGTAGCTGTCCAGTTTTGCCAGCACAATTTGTTAAAGAGGCTTTCCTTGCTCCACTTCACATTTCTTGCTCCCTTATCAAAGATTAGATGATCATATGCTTGGGGGGAGATGTCAGTATAATCAACCCTGTTCCATTGGTCTGCAGCTCTGCCTTTGTTCCAGTACCATGCTGTTTTAATTATTACTGCTTTGTAGTAGAGTTTGAAGTTAGGGAGGTTGATTCCTTCCATTTTCTTTTTCCCAAGAATTGGGTTTAGCTTTTCGTGGGGGCTTATTGAATTTGTACAATGCTTTGGGAAGTATTGCCATTTTGACAATGTTGATTCTCCCGATCCATGAGCAGACGATATCTTTCCATTTTCTTGTGTCCTCTTTTATTTCCTGAAGTAGCGTTTTATAGTTTTCTTTGTAGAGGTCTTTTACTTCCTTAGTTAAGCTGATTCCTAGGTGCTTGATTTTCTGGGGCACAATTGTGAACAAGATTGTTTTCTTCATGACACTTTCTTCTCTCTCACTATTTGCATATAGGAAAGCCCTGGACTTTTAGGTATTGATTTTTATAGCCTGCAACTTTACTATACAAGTCTATTGTTTCTAGGAGTTTCCTGGTAGAGGTTTTAGGGTTCTTTAAGTATAGTATCATATCATCTGTGAATAGTGAGAGCTTTATTTCTTCCTTTCCTATCTGGATCCCATTAATATCTTTTTCTTGCCTAATCTCTCTTGCAGGTACCTCCAGTACTATATTGAACAGCAGTGGAGAGAGTGGGCATCCTTTTCTTGTCCCTAGTATGACTACTTTTAATAGCTTCTGTTTTAAAATCTGCTGTGAATTCTAAGAATTGAAGTCAATTGAAGCTAAGCAAGCCTGGATGAATTTTGAAGTTTTATCTTTTCCTGTTTATATTTAGGTTAATCAGTTTCATTTTACTAAACATTAAAGGGCCATACATTATTTCACCTTATTTCATCTAACATCTTTATTGATTGCAATGTTTCAAGGTTAAAGTAACCATTATTAGTAAAACAGTGGATAATGAAGATAGAATTTTAAATCTGACAGTGTCTTTCAGTTTTCAATGATTAATTATTTCATACTATGTGACTGGGGATTTCAGTAATTAGCTAGTTATGAGCTAAACCTAGGACTAATGTCTAAGTGAGGAATTTTGACATTCATGATTGTGGGTAGAGATAAATATTGTCGTGCTGATACCTGAAAAATTGAACCACAGGGTAAAACAGTGAATACATTCATACATTTGAAATAGCATTATACTTGTATATTTATTCAATATATTAATTTCGAACATTACTATATGTTTTTAAGTCTAACACAAACTTTGTCAAACTAAACATTGACAGGTCATCTTATGCTTTAAAGTCATGATTACCTAGAGTTCCCTTTTTCCTTAGCTTTCACAGTTGATCGTTAACACTGGAGGAGTGGCTGCCATGATTGACTGTATTGGATCCTGCAAAGGAAACACACGGTTACCTGGGATCATGATGCTCGGTTATGTTGCAGCTCATTCTGAGAACCTGGCCATGGCAGTGATCATTTCTAAGGTTTGTGCTTGTATTACATCATTTTTTTCTAGTTATTGCAGTGAGATTTTCCAAGACAGAAACAGATTAAACACTCCCATGAAGTATAAAAGACATGTGACTGAGTTAAGTAATTACCTGAAGAATATTTAAGCATTGTCTTGATGTTTAGAAGTTTCCCAAAGCAATGTTTTAAGCAAGGCTTATTTTACTTGTAATTTTTAAGGTTTAATACCAATAAAATATCTGAGTTTTATTATTTAATTAAATAGCATATTTCTATTTTGAAGGATTGACTTTTGTAAATTTGCCAATATGTAAAGTATACCTCAGTTAAAATTAACTCCTCTAGTAATTTGAGGAATAGTACAGCAGGTTACCTGCTTGCCTTGCACACGGCCAATCCAGCTTCAATCCCCAGTGCCGCATATGGACTCCTGAGCTCTATCAGGAGCGATCCCTACGTGCAAAACCAGGAGTAAGCCCTGAGCACAGCTGGATATGGCCCCCCCCCCGCTAATTTTTAATAAACCTACTTACGTGAGATTGCCTAACCAAAAATTTCAATACCTTAGAATAAATTCAAACAAATATTATAAAGGCCTGTGGTACATATCAAATTAAACTATAAGGTATCATTAAAAAGAGCCAGCAGACATAAGAATGGTGGAAAATATTCTGTGCTCATTGATTGGAAGGATTAACATAATTAAACTTGTATTACCTGAAGCAATCTATATTGTGAATGAAATGCTCATCAAAATCCCGATTATGATTTTTCACAGAAATAAAACAGAAAATTCATGAAATATGTTTAATGTATTTGGAGCTACAAAAAACCTCAAATATTCCTGAGGAGAAGGGAAAACACTCCTGAGGAGAGGGGAATAGAAATGATGGTATCACATTCCATGATTTTAAACTGTGCTAACAAAGCAATTATGAAACTGCATGGTATTAGAATTTAAAACACACAGTAATCAATGGAACAGAATAGACATCCCAGAAAAACAGCACACATATATGCACAACTGATTTATGACAATCAACTTACATGGAACAAGGAAAGTCTCATCAGTAAATGTTGGGAAAACTGAGAAGCTATCTGCAAAAGAATGAAACTAGATTAGACCTAACACCATGAATACAAATTAATTCAAAACTAACTCATAATGGATTAAATATTTGTTGTAAGACCTAGAGCCAAAAAAAAAAACCATACAAAAAGAGGTAATAGCAGAACTTGAAAATAGTAAATTTGGGGAGTTTTTTTGTTTGTTTGTTTGTTTTGGAAGGCTTTTTTTTTATTTTGGCAATGTTGGGAATTGAATCCAGCCCACACACATGCAAAGCACATGCACTAACACTGAGCTACATCCCCATAACTACTTGAACATAACTTTTAGAGATGTATGGAGACTCAGCTCCAATAGAAGGGAGAAAGAAGAAAAAGATAAAAAAACTTGAACTATTTTGAATTAAATTTTTTCTTGAGAAAAGAAACTACTATCACCAAAACAAAACAGTATTCTACTGAATGGGAAGGATGCTTACTGCACATTCTACTTCACAGTGTCAATTCCCAAAATATACAAAGTACTCATAAAAATCAATACGAGGAAAGCAAACAACCCAGTGAAAAATGCGCAGTGAGTTAGAGTTTTTGTGGAAGGAAGGATAGTACTGTCTTGCTTTGGTGTGTCTCAGAAGTATGGGCTTTCTGGAAACTTGTCTGCTCTGAAGATAGTTCTTAACTAATGGCACTGACACATATTTGTTATTGTCATTGTTGTAAAACAATAAGTCAGTGAATAAATATGGCTTGTTTCTTTTAGAATTGGTCTTCGTAACTGAATTTAAGGGTGTGGGGGGAAAATACATCATCTGTTGGACATTGTTATTATAGCTAGAAACATAAGATGTGAGCTTCCCTGGAACTAAATTCAAAGAGATAATTATTAGTCTCAAACTAGTTTGCAATTTATGCCTATATGGAATCTGGAATTAATCCTTGATTTGTTTATTTAGTACTTTCTTAGGTGCATATTTAATTACCTGTAGGGTAGGACTCCCTCATGTAAAGCATAAGGTCCACTGCTTTGAGCTATCTCCCCAGAAATAGTTTATACTATCCTTTCTTGGATGTATAAACTGTAATGAATTTGAGGCCCTTTATTTAGTTCATTGTTTTGATTATTTAGATAAAATTGAAAGCCACTGGACAGCCCATGCTGAGTAGCAAAAGCAATCATTTCTATTTGACAAAACTATGATTTAAAAGTTGACCAAATTAATTCACACTCATATACTATTTCATGACAGGCTTTAGTGAAGTCTATTTTAACTAAAATATATTTAAATCTAATACTTGCTCCTATTATTATTAATAATTCAATCAATTTGCATTTTAATCCATGGTACTGTATCATCTATTATAATTGTGGAAAGGCAATTATGGATGAATTTTATGTTAGCTTTTTCTTTTTGGGGCCACACTCAGAAGTGCTCAGGGGTTACTCCTGGTTCTGCACTCAGGAATCATTCCTGGTGGGTTCAGGGGACTATATCGGATGTCAGCAATTAACACTGACTGGTAGGCTTCATGCAAGGCAGTGATTTACCCACTGTACTCTATTTTTTTTGGCGGAGGTGGGGGGGGGCTCACACCCAGCGATGCACAGGGGTTACTCCTGGTTCTGCACTAAGGAATTACTCCTGGTGGTGCTAGGGGGACGTTATGGGATGCTGGGAATGGAACCCGGGTTGGCCGCGCGCAAGGCCGCGTGCAAGGCCCTACCCGCTGTGCTATCGCTCCAGCCCCACCCACTGTACTTTCTATCCCGCCCCAAAGTTAACTTTTTTTTTTTAACAAAGAAAAATAAAAAGGTTTTAAATCCTGAGTATTTTTAAGTTTTCGCGATGGAATTTGGTTTTGCCTGTATTCTGTGGCATCTTTGGTTAAATGCCTTTCAGTTTGGGTGGTAAACACCAATGGGTAAATTAGTCGTGATTGACTTCAAAGCTCCTTATGATGGGTTCATTTTCTGAGTCATTTAGAAGATCGTCAAAACGATTCCAATGTGTGGGACTCTTTTTTTTTGTTTGTTTTGGTTTTTGAGCCACACCCAGCGATACTCAGGGGTTTCTTGTGGCACTGCACTCAAGAATCACCCCTCGCTGTGCTCAGGGACCGGTTGGCCATGTGTATGGCAAACACCCTACAATCGCTGCAGTATCACCCCAGTTCCACGTGAGACTCTATAATCACTGATACTTGATCTTTTCATCGATGCTGCAGGGTGTACCCCAGTTAGCCCAGTGCTTGTCGGAGGAACCAGAGCATCACATTAAGGCTGCTACTGCTTGGGCCTTAGGACAAATTGGCAGACACACCCCAGAGCATGCAAAAGCGGTGGCAGTCAGCAACACTTTGCCAGTTCTGCTTTCTTTGTACATGTCAGCAGACACTTCCGAGGATCTTCAGATAAAAGTAAGGGCATAATTCTGAACTGTTCTCCAAAGGTTAGTTTTGCATTCCTTTGAAATATTTGATTTAAAATGCGCTCATTATGGACATGCTGCTTCTGTGAGTCAAGACATAGATATTTATCAAAATAATTGAGGTGACTGTTCTTTAGAAATGGGTGACCCTTATCACCAGGAATCAGTAATGTCTGATTGGGCTTCAGTAATGAGATGGGCTTCCAAGCAGTGCCCAGAAGGCCCAGGACCCCACTGGCCATTCAGGCTGGCGGTTGAAGAAAGGGCCTGAGGATATGGTCTGCTCAAGCTGGCAGTGCTGCAGATTCCTGGGCCACCCAGTGCTCTCGAGCCTGCAGGGCCATACCTGCTGGTGCTCCAGGGACCCCCATGTCCTGGAAACTGCTCGGAGGTTTCATGTGGGGCCAGGAATCCAACCTTCTTTGGAAACGTGGCCACTTCACTACTTGACATTCATGTTTTTGAATCCTTTCATTAGCTAGAGGGTTTTTAAAAAGAAACTTGCTCTATAAAAATGAATAATTTAAAAGGCAGGGAAATGGTAAAGCAGTAGGGGCATTTGTTCTGTGGCTGATACATTTTTATAGTTGAGGGATATTTTCTCTACTGTTGAGTAGGTCCTATCTCCTGCTTCCAGCCATAAGCTACACACAGCAGAATTTTTCTGAATAAATACCCTACCTATAAACCAGGAACCTCTTTAAGAACATACCATGTTTATTAATTACTTTCTACAAGTATTTTATCATTATATTGCCTAGGGATAGGAAATATTATAATGTTATACTTTATATGTCTTATATTCATGAGGTAGAATAATTTACATATTTGGGGGTATGATGCTGCCAGCAGATCAATCTGTACCTGTAAGGCGAGTGCATCAGCAGCCTGATGGCAACTTCAGACATCCAGATACCCCAAAATTGCTGCTGTGTCTTTGGCCAGACCCAAAAAACTTGGGGCAAAGTTTACCAAAAAAGTAAACGGTCAAAAGTTAGGTATGTGGGAGACACACTCACAAACTACCTCCGGCTCAGCTATATAATTGGAGGCAAGGCCTCTCTGGTTCCTGATTGAACTGCTTAACAGCCATGATCCCAGAGACACAGAAACAAATCTCAAAAACTAACAGCTTTTGTCAGAGATGTATCTGGTTCCCGCAATGGGTTACCAGCGCCAGACCACCCCAGGGTGGAAAGGGTGTTTTCCTTCCACCTGATCCCCCTTGGTAGCTCCAGGGCCGCCATCTTCCAGAGGCCTTTGGACAGTCAGGTTTGGGCCCTCAGTGACGAGACACGTGGAGCCTCATGGGATGAGGGTGGAGCTGGCCCTTCCCTCCCCATCTCACCGAGATCCCAAGTTGCCACCCACGAACGGCCTCTCTGGCTCCTGATCAAGTTGCTTAATGGCCGTGATCCCAGAGACTGAGAAACAAATCTCAGAACCCATTGGCTTTGGCAGAAACACGTCCAGTCTCTACAGTAGGTTACCGGCGCCGGGCCATCCCAGGTGGGAATAGGTTTCGTACCTTAGTCTGTTCCCCCTGGCGGCCCAGTAGCCGCCATCCTCCAGAGGCCACTGGATAGTCAGGTTTGGGCCCACAGTGACGAGACATGTGGGGCCTCACGGGATGGGGGTGGAGCTGGCTCTTTCCTCCCCACCCCAATGACCCCGAGTTGCCACCAATGAACAGCTTCTCTAGCTCCTGATCAAGCTGCTTAATGGTCATGATCCCAGAGACTCAGAAAAAAATCATGAAACTCAACGGCTTTTGGCAGAAATGTATCCGGTCCCTTCAGTAGGTTACTGGTGCCAAGCCGGGCCACCCCAGGTGGGAATAGGTTTCATGCCTTGGCCTGTTCCCCCTGGAGGCCCGAAGGCCACCATCCTCCAGAGGCCACTGGACAGTCAGGTTTGGGCCTGCAGTGACGAGACACACAGGGCCTCATGAGATGGGGGGTGGAGCCGGCCCTTTCCTCCCCATACCTATGAGACCCCCAAGTCACCGCCCATAAACAGCCTCTCTGGCTCCTGATCAAGTTGCTTTATAGCCATGATCCCAGAGACTCAGAAACAAATCTCGAAGCCTAATGGCTTTTGGCAGAAATGCGTCTGGACTCCACAGTAGGTTACTGTTGCTCACCACCCCATGTGGGAAAGGGTGCTGTCCCTCCACCTGCTCCCCCTAGGCGGCTCAGTGGCCATCATCTTCCAGATGTCATTGGACAGTAAGGTTTTGACTCTTAGTGACGAGACACATGGGACCTCACGGAATGGGGGTGGAGCCGGCCCTTTTCTCCCACCCCAACGAGACCCTGAGTTGCCACCCACAAACGGCCTCTCTGGCTCCTGATGAAGCTGCTTAACAGCCATGATCCAAGAGACTCAGAAACAAATCTCAGAACCCAGCAGGTTTTGGTAGAAATCCTCCAGATTTAATTGTTAAAATTTCAGAATTTCAAAATTGTGTGGCCACGACTGCAAGTGTGCGACATCATATATTATTCATAATCAGCAATAGAAAACAAATTTTCTACTGTTGCCTTTTTGGCAGATCTGAGTGCTGGGGTAAAATCCCAAATAATAATGGTGGGTCTGGTGTCAAAATATTGAATGTAATCAAAGTAGAGACAGAATAATGTGGAAATCATCTGCCCCACAGGTAAGCAGAGTGTGTGGGATTGGGGGTATACTGAGGGTTTTTGTGGTGGAAAGTGGACACTGGTGAAGGTACAGGTGTTTCATTGTATGACCGAGACTTAAACCCGAAAGTTTTGTAATTGTCATGGTGATTCAATAAATAAAATTATAAAAAATGAAAAAAAAGTAAGGTGGAGTTTATGCCCAATTCAATCAGCCTAATCAGTGGCTGAATAAATAGCAGTACTCTTACATAAAAAAATAATTTACACATTTTCAATATACTTTTTGGTTTATAGTTTTAATTTCCACAGAGGTATTTGTAAGTATGCAGTAATTCACTATATCTCAAGGTTTAATGTGAATCAACTAGCAGACAATTCTATGATTAAAACCAATGAAAGATAGGAACTTTTCTTTTTCTTTCTGTGTTTTGGGGTCATAGGTTGGTGGTGTTTTCACAGCAGTTCTCAGGAACCTAGGGGCAAGTCCTGAGGCTATTGGCCCAGCAGTGCCAGGCCTGATGGGGCTTGGTCCTGGCAATGTGGTTCTGCTAAGGCTGAGTTGTGCTGGGGGCCACCAGGATTACTCAGGTGGTGATCAGAGGGCCTTGAGTTCCTCAGGGTCAAACTTAGGGCCTGGTACATGTAAGAGGTGTGCTCCAACTCTTAATGATAACTTCCTGGTTCCAAGATAGGAAGTTTACAGATATGTATTTGAAAAAAATGAAAATAAAACAACTGCAAGTTAGATTGGGCCATTTACTTCACTTTCAGTTTTCAGGAACACAAGACGTGAATTTTTAGCAAGCTTTCAATAATTAACTTTGGTCTGTATTTCAATAGAGTAAAAAAGCCATAAAGAATGTCTTACAAAAATGCACCTACTTACCGGCCCTTGAGCCTTTGCTGTATGAAGCACCTCCCAATATTCTGAAGCATGTGGTTGGACAGTTCAGTAAGGTAAGAAATGCTCTTAGCCTAGAAGTGGTGTGAAATGAAAGTGGAAATTAATTATTATCTTCTCTTCTGCCATGCTAATGCTTTCCTCTTGAAAATAGGGACAGCATTTTACTTAACTCTTGCTAATATATTGACAGTGATACATACATAATAATAAAGGTATGTAAGTTAATAAACTTCACATAAATAATTAACACTTTCTCCTTCCTCATTTTACCCACATTCACAGTGCCATATTTTTGTGTGTGTTCCCCAGGGAATAAATTATAGTATGTTAGCACATAAAAATCGTAAAACAGGGCCAGAATGACAGAACACCAGATATGGCACTTGCCTTGCATGCTGCTGATCTAGGTTATCCCCCAGAACCCCTGAGCCTGTCCAGGAGAGATTCTTGAGTTCAGAGCCAGGGGTAAGCCCTGAGCACTACCTGGTGTGGCATCAAAACAAAACAAAAAAATTAAAACATCATTTATAATCATAAGATACTTTAAATAATTTTTCTGATCTCACTTAGGAATACTTAGATCTCATTTTTACAAAGGGATAATGGTCTGAAGCAGTGAAATATTTGTTTATGAAATTCATGCACTTTCCTGGAGATGTTTTCAGTGTATATGGAGTCTAGTAGGTAGTGACAGACCTTGAGAGGCTGTAAACAGAGGACTTTGCTCTCCGCATGTATTCCAGAAATCTTCATGGCCTGTGCTCACGTTCATTGCCTTCATTCAATGTCCACAACATGGAAAATTAATGTGTTCTAAAAGGACTCCATTTTCCCTTAAATCACCAGCAAATTTAGGCTCTTATATTACAGGTAATGTTGGACATTAATGGTTTTAAGCAGAAATAATCCAACTTGGTATAGAAATAATGACGTTTCTTTGTGCTTCATTTTCAAGGTACTACCACATGATAGCAAAGCTCGACAACTTTTTGTAACAAGTGGTGGACTTAAAAAGATACAAGAGATAAAAGCAGAACCTGGTTCTCTCCTTCAAGAATACATCAACAGTATTAATGAGTGCTACCCAGAGGAAATAGTAAGGTGGGAAAATAGATCTTGAAAAGTTCCAAATTATATTGTACTTTTTCTGTTTTCATATTTATAATCAAAAATGGTATAATAGCATGTAAAATGCTATTATAGCATATAAAATGCTATAATAGCATTTTGTGTATGTATGTATCCATTTCCTCCTGTGCAACTCAGGTGCCAGGTCGTTTGTGCCATGTTGAGTTCTTGACCTAGGTACACATAACTGTTGCATTCCAAGATGTTCATTCCGTTGAGAGCGAATGGAATGTCAGGAATGAGACCGTTTCTCATCAACATTGTCTTCATGAGATTCAGCTGCAGTCCGACCTTTCCACACTCATGGTCGAAGTCAGCCAATATTTCTGCTGCTTGGCTAATGTTTGGTGTTATTAGAACGATGTGATCAGTGAAGTGGAGGTGGTGTAGTTGCCAACCGTCTATCTTCACTCCCATTCCTTCCCATTCCAGTTTTTGCATGATGTTCTCGAGGGTGGCACAGAAGAGTTTCGGTGAAATGGTATCACCTTACCGAACCCCTCTCTTGACATCGATGATCACTTCCTTTTAGAATGGTGAAATCCTGGTAGTGAATTCGTAGGAGGAAGAGAGTGGCTTAGAACGCCTTCAAGAGGGTCTAAGGAATAGCTAAGAGGATGAAGAACCTCCAACTTCGGGCACATCTCTTCTATTCCACCATTCTTTCTGCATTAACATACACCTCAGAGACCTGGCCCCTATGAAAACAGCATTAGAATGCTATTTGGGTCTCCCAAAGAGGAATCAAAAGAACTATGCTTGGAGTATCACATTTCACTCAAGTGAGAGAAAGAATTTGGAGTTCCAACCTCCATCGATGATCAAGAATCAGGAACGCTGTCTCGTTTGCCAAGGCACCTAAAATCAGATGGGCTGACATGCAAAAAAAAAAATGGGCTTAGACCTCGACCTAACATCATACATAAAAGTCAGATCAAAATGGATTAAAGATCTCAACATCAGGCCAAAATCCATAAGGTATATTGAAGAGAAGGTCGGCAAAATCCTCCACGATATTGAGACTCATGGTATCTTCAAAGACGACATTCCACTGACCAACCAAGTGGAAACAGAGATTTAAAAAAAAATAAGACTATCTTAAATTAAGAAGCTTGTGCACCTTAAAAGATACAGTGACCAGAATACAAAGACAGTCTACAGAATGGGAAAGGATATTCACCCAATACCCATCGGATAAGGGATTGATATCAAGGATATACAAAGTACTGGTTGAGCTCCACAAGAAGAAAACATCCAACCCCATCATAAAATGGGGAGATGAAATGAACAGAAACTTTCTCAAAGAAGAAATTCAAATGGCAAAAAGGCACATGAGAAAATGCTCTACATCACTAATCATAGGGAGACGCAGATCAAAACAACAATGAGATATCATCTCACAACACAGAGACTGACCCATATCCAAAAGAACAAAAGCAACTGTTAGCGTGGATGTGGCGAGAAAGGGACTCTCCTTCACTGCTGGTGGGAATGCCGACTGGTTCAGCCCTTCTGGAAAACAGTATGGACAATTCTCAAAAAATTAAATATTGAGCTCCCATTTGACCCAGCAATACCACTCCTGGGAATATATCCCAGAGAGGCAAAAAAATATACTCGAAATGACATCTGCGCTTCCATGTTCATTGCTTCACTGTTCACAGTAGCCAAAATCTGGAAGAAATCTGAGTGCCTGAGAACAGATGACTGGTTAAAGAAACTTTGGTACATCTACACAATGGAGTACTATGCAGCTGTTAGAAAAGATGATGTCACGAAATTTACATACAAGTGGTACTACATGGAAAGTATCATTTTAGCGAAATGAGTCAGAAAGTGAGGGACAGGCATAGAAAGATTGCACTCATCTGGGGGATATAAAGTAACAAAATAGAAGAATAACATTCAAAATTAGTCAAGATAAGTACCAGGAGGTTCACTCCGTGGCTTGAAGGCCAGCTGCACATACTAGGGGAAAAGGCAGCTCAGATAGAGAAGGGAACACCAAGTAAAGAGTGTTGGGAGGATCCTCCCAGGATGGGAGATGCATGCTGAAAGTAGACTATAGACCGAACTTGATTGCCACTCAATGCCTATTTTGCAAACCTCAGCACCCAAAAGGAGAGAGAGAACAAAAGGGAATGCGCTGCCACAGAGGCGGGATGGAATGGGCGGGATAGCTGGGTGGGAGGGATACTGGGATCATTGCTGGTGGAGAATGGGCACTGGTGGGGGGATGGGTACTCGATCATTGTATAACTGAAACCCAAGCACAAAAACTTGTAAGTCTACAAATGTACCTCATGGTGTTTCAGTAATAAAAATTAAAAAGAAAAAAAGAAAAAAGAAAATCAGATGGGTTGGATATGTAATTTGATTTGGAGATGACCGCTGGACTAGAGCCATTACCGACTAGATTGTCAAAAGATCGAGTGGCCGCCCACCTACGAGATGGTCAGACTACTTCACCAAGACCCTGAATGATCGGTTTGAGACTCTTTGTGCTCCTGGAGGGATCAGATGCCACTGGGCTACACTAGCACGCAACAGGGTTGAATGGAGACATTAATGGAGCCCGCTTGAGGAAATCGATGAGTAAGGGGATGTCAAGTGATCAAGTGTATCCATTTCATTGTCAATAAGCACACTACTGAGAAGCTATCTGTGTTCTACAAGACAACTTATAGAAGAAATTAATGCCTTATTTGTGAGTTTTAAAATCAAGAATCTGAGAATAGATAAATATAACTAATAATTGACAAAGCCATACTTGATTTTTCTGGGGAAGGAGCCACACCCAGCAGCACTCAGGGCTTACTCCTAGCTCTGCACTCTGGGATCACTTGTGGGGATCCATACGGGGTGCTGGTGCTTGAACCCAGGTAGACCACATGAAAGGCAAGTGCCCTACTCACAGTACTATCACTCTAATCCCTGCAAAGCACAACTTAGAATGTTAAGTTTATCAGGCAAAAACACCTTAGGCGTGGTTGGGGGGGGGGGGACACCTTAAGAGGCCTACTTCTTTCAACTTTTGTGAGAATTTTTATTTATTTACAAGTATTTAAATGTTTATATATTTATTGCATGACTGTCAGATTTTATTTTACATACATTTATATGCAATCTTTAGTTCCAGGCATGTAAATAATTTCCATGGTATATGAAACACTCCACAATCCATCAATCTAATATATTTATCACTATTTTAATAGAGACCATACCCAAATTTGGTGAACTTGGGCCCAAAAAGCACTAGGGATCAAACTCAGGGCCTTGTACTTACTAGACATGTGCTCTAACTTGTGAGCTATCATCCCGATCCTTATTAACTACTTTGATACTAAATATTTTATAGAACATTCTATCTAAACATATAAATTTATATACTATAGATGCCCAAGAACCAATGAAATAGGCTCATTTTCCATGTTTATATGCTAGAATATTTGTAAACAACTTATTAACTGACTCTTTAATGTGAACTGTACACTCATAATTTTTAGTTTATCAGTGGCTAAATCTTATTAAAACATATGTTGAGAGTAATCTTTGGGTCGATAAGAATGCAAGTTATTAGAGCTGGAGCAATAGCACAGCTAGTAGGGCTTTTGCCTTGCATGCGGCCAACCCGAGTTCGATCCCCAGCATCCCAAATGGTCCCCTGAACACCGCCAGGGGTAATTCCTTAGTGCATCGCTGGGTCTGAACCAAAAAGCAAAAAAAAAAAAAAAGAAAGAAAGAAAGAATGCAGGTTATTATTATTGCTAATGTTATATTGTTATCTAACTAATGAAATTAATCTAATAGTTATGATCACTCAAACAATATCATTACTGGACACACTGGTGATGGGTATGGTGTTGGAATATGCACACAGAAAACCATCATCAAAAATATTGTGAATTATTGTCGCTCAATAAAAAATAAAATCAAAATTCAAAAACCAATATGAGTCACTTTTCTATTTTGCTACTATTGCTTCTGTTTTGTTGCCACATGTGGCAGTGTTCAGAAGCTACTCCCAGATCTGTGCTCAAGCATCATTCCCAGCTGTGCTTGGGGGACCACCTGCAGTACCATTACATTGGTGTCTGTTGGTTAGTCTAGCACAGTTTGTGACATGGTGATCTCCCTCTGATATAGTCTCTGAGGCATGTGTTCAAAGCATACTTGGAGCATAGTATTCAGGTGCATTTGAGATTTTAATCATTGAATTATTTCAGATAAATGCCTTATGCTAAATCTTTTGTGTCTATTTTGCTGAAATTTTCACAGACATCTAATAAAACATTTTCTTTTTCAGGTACTATTCTCCTGGATACTCAGAGATACTTCTACAGAGAATAGAAAATTACCAGCCATCAGCTAAATAAGCAAAAATTTGGTTTTGTATTCAATATAACAGCAGAATTATTTGTGAATAATAATCATTAATGATATTTCTAGATATTTGAACTAAATACTTTTTAAGTTTATACCATGTGAACCACCTTAGGATAATATTTTCTAAATTTTTGTAATATTTAAATTTCAGTATTAAATATATGAAGAACCATTTATGGTCATTTGTATAGATTTTTTTAAAGGTAAATTTTTGAAAGTTAGGAAAGGGGTTTAAGGCATTTCTTATTATCCTGTTAAAATATACACAAACATAGAAACCTCTGACTGGATTGCAATGAAAGAATTTAATTACATATATGTAAATTTTTATGTATTTATTGTATGACTGTCAAATTTTATTTTATATATCTTTATATGCGGGGGCAGGAGATTCTGGCAGTCCTCACAGGGGTCCCTTGAAGGGGGCAGGTTGAGTTTCCCACCCCGCTCCTAGCAGAGCCCTGGCAGCTGAAGACCTCTGAAATCCAGCCACAGCCATGCTTAAGACCACTTTCCACACAATCAGACGAGCCTCACGCTTGAAGGAACTGGCAGAGGAACCCAGATGTGTGGGATCCAGGGCTGAGATCTCCAAGCCTTCTTGGATCGGGACTGGGCCTCCTCCACCCAGATCCCCCATCTTCCAGTAGCTAGGCATTACACCCACCAACTGCCCCTGGCACCATGTAATCCCATCAATGGCCAAGACCCAGAGACTATAAAATCAAGCTCCAGGAAGCGAGTGGCCGCGCAACCTCTTATTGTCTAGTTCTTGCTCTCAGAAAACCTGGCAGACTACCGAGAGTATCTTGTCCCCACGGTAGAGTCTAGCAAGCTCCCGGTGGTGTATTCGATATGCCAAAACCCAGTAACAGTGATGGGTCTCATTCCCCTGACCCTGAAAGAGCCTCCAATGTAGCAGTTGCTAAAATCTCAGGGCTAGGTCGAATCGAGACGTTACTGGTGCCTGCTTGAGGAAATCGATGAACAACAGAATGACAATGATACAATGTGATACAGTGATATCTTTATTTGCAATCTTTAGTTCCAGACATGTAAATTATTTCCATGGTATATGAAACACTCTACAATCCATCAATCTAATATATTTATTAGGTTTTAAATAGAGACCATACCCAAGTTTGATGAACTTGGGGCCAAAAGACACAGAAGGTATGGATAACCTGTCAAGGTTCCGTAAGACTTTTCCCTTCATTAAAAACAAAACTTTCCTCTTCATCCCAAGTCTCTAAGCTCTGTTATGACAGGGCTGAAAGTGTACAAGGCAATAGTGTGTATCACACCGCTGCAAACAAGCTTTCCATTCCCTCCAGAAAGTTTCTTAATCTAGCTCTGCTTGTTAACAAATAAGGAAGCAAGCCTGCAAATCGATGCTTGATGAGCCCTTGTTCTAACTTCTCTCCCAAGTTTCCGTTTCAGAGATTTAAGAAATAACTTGAGAAGAGTACCACCAGGCTCAGACTTTATAAACATTTTTACCTCCGGAAGTGAAAAGGAATTTTAAAAGCTAGTCACTTCCCAGTTTTTCAACCTGAGTCACCTTTCAGTTCTTGAACCCATGCATTAAAGAATGCCCCAATTTGAGGATGGAACCTGGAACCCCTGAGTTAAGTGTATTCATTAACGATGGTATTCTGAAGTACATTATTTAAATGTACTTCAGAATATTTCTCCAGCACTCTCATCAGGACACTGTGCTCAGTAAGCCCCAGAGCAAGCAATGGTGCTACAGCTCTCTACAGACCCTATGTTGGTAGAGGGCAGTGTGGAGGAAATGATTGCTATGTAGAATTACTAGAAATCCCACCATGAGGACCACAGCACAGACTCCTATCACTGTGAGCACAGCCTGACAATCTTTAGCCAAAGACTGTAAATCATTAGAGGATCAACTCCTGGAAACTCAAGGGTCATAGTTGAGACAGAGCATTGACTTTGGGATATGAAATAACTTTGCAGCCAGTGATCACACTGAACTGGGTTCTGTCACAATCAGCAAATCCTAAGTTGAGAGAACACAGCAACAAACTGTAAATGTCAGTGGGACATACAACATGGGACAGACTCAGGCTCATAGGACATAAGGAAGTTATATTAGCTGATGGTCCTTATTTCCAAATAGTCATCAACTACTGTTGCACTAGTTCTCAATTTTGATGCTCACAAATAGCTCATAACTATAGATACACAGGGTATACAGTGATAAAAAGCTGACATATCCTTTACAGATAAGTATGCAAGTATTAAAAATTGAGGTTTCTGCACTGCAACCCAATTTCAAGTGATTCTGAAAGAGTAACGAGAGAGAGTTTTCCCAGTGAGCAAACTTTCTGGCAATGAAATAGGTTTCATTGGTGTGTAATGAAGCTCAAGGTAAGAAGATGTACATAGATCTGTAAAGAAGTGATGAATGGGGTGGCAGTTTGGTCAAGAATTTGAGAAGACAGGCTGGAATAATAATACAGGTGGTAGGGAACTTGCCTTGTACACAGCCAAACCGAGTTTGATCCCCAGCATCCCATATGGTCCTTTGAGCAACACTAGGGGTTATTTCTGAGTGCAGAGCCAGGAATAACCCTGAGCATTGGTGAGTGGCCCCAAAACAAAAAAAAAAAAAGACCAAAAAAACTGGAAAAATACTACATGATGGAAAAGATCATGGTCACGGTCCTCCCGTTGTTCATCAATTTGCTCGAGCGAGCCCAGTAACATCTCCATCATGAGACTTCTTTTTACTGTGTTTGGCATATTGAATATGTCACGGGGAGCTTGCCAGGCTTTGACGTGCATGCGAGATACTTTCAGTAGCAGCTTGCCAGATTCTCCAAGAGGGGTGGAGGAATCGAACTCGGGTCGGCCATGTTGGCTGTGTGCAAGGCAAATGCCCTACCGCTGTGCTATCGCTCCAGCACCGATGGAAAAGATGTAGATGTAAAATATGAAAATTTTTCGTATCCCGTGTTAATTTATATCAAAGCATCCACTACTTTGACACTAAATAATCTGAGTCTGCTGTGAACGCCAGGCAGCCCCTCTCCTTGCTGTGGGACTGACACAGTAGGCATAGGAATGGGGAATCCATGGTAGAGGATAGCGTTGGTCAGCAGAAGGTACAACACAGACTTCTACCTACAGAAGCTAATCCTACTGCTTTTAGTGTCAGTTATCCAAAATGTCGAGCAAAACAAAACAAAACAAAACAAAACAAAGTGCTGGCTCCCCAATATAGAACCACCTCTCAGGATTCCATTCATTTGGAGGTAAATTAACCATTTTGAACTCATATCCTGAAAGAAACAGAATTCATCTATTCATCTTGACTAGGATTGGTTATAACAATCCTAATCCAGGATTTGAGTTTTCCTTTTCTGTGGTTGGATATTCAATACCAACATCTGAGTATTTAAGAAAGTTAGATCCAGGGCTGGAGTGATAATATAGCAGGTAAGGTACTTGCCCAGCATGCGGCCTTACCTGCCGTTCTTACTATCCATCCCCATATAATTTTCATTTTTTACAATATCTTTGTCTTGCTCAGTAGTGGGGGGGGGCTGGAGTGATAGCATAGCAGGTATTTTCCTTGCACATGGCCAACCTGGGTTCGATTCCTCTGCCCCTCTCGGAGAGCCCAGCAAGCTACCAAGAGTAACCTGCCCGCACAGCAAAGCCTGGCAAGCTACCTGTAACATATTCGATATGCCAAAAACAGTAATAAGTCTCACAATAGAGACGTTACTGGTGCCCGCTCGGGAAAATCGATGAACAACAGGAGGACAGTGCTACAGTGCTACCTTATACCTCATGTTTGGAAAGTTGGGGATGATTCTTAAAACTCTGTCTATAAAGCCTAAGTTTCGTTGGTTAGTTCCTCTGTATATTTCCTACTTGTCTCTGAATTTAAAGTTCACTTACATACTACTTCTTAAGCTCACAAAAATTGTTTCCAGGTCCACAGACTTGATTTAAAAATCATATTGTAAAATACTCAATAACTGTCCTCAACTAACATGCTCATGTTCTTGTATAAGGGGTTCTGTATCTCAGCTGCATATCTTCCTCAGGTCCACTGTTTGCAGAGCCTCTGTGAGGGCTGTTAAATACCTGCATAGTGCAAATTCAAACTGTAGCAATCCAGCTCCACTGAAGCTCTGCCTAGCACAGTATAGGATGCTTGCTTTGCATGTGATAGGCTCATAGTTTTATCCCTGTACGTAGATGGATGGTGGGCAAAAAGGATCCCATCGAAATGATTTTTGGTGCTTAGCAATAAGGAAATGGACTCAAAGCAATTCAAAATTTAATGCCATCCACCATTTGCTTAAGATTAGCATCTAGGAACCAGAGAAATAGTAAAGAGGGTAGGATGCTTGCCTTGCCAAGCCTTGTTTGGCCCTCTCTGGCACTGCATATTGTTCCCCAGTACCACTAGAAGTTATCCATGAGGAGAGAACTAGTAGTAATTCAAGAACAGCAGATCTTCAAGTAGGATTCATCCCAGGGATGCAAGGATGGTTTAACACTCGCAAGTCAATCAACATAATACACCATATCAATAAAAGAAAAGATAAAAAATATATGAGTGTATCAATAGATGTAGAGAAATCATTTGACAAGATCCAGCAGCCATTCATGATAAAAAAAAAAACTCAACAAAATGGGAGTTGATGGAACTTTCCTCAGTATAGTCGAAGCCATCTACCACAAGCCCAGAGCAAGCATTATTCTCAGTGGGAAAAAACTAAAAGCCATCCTCTACAATTGGGAATAAGACAAGGTTGCCCACTCTTGACACTTCTATTCAAGTACTGTAGTACTTGCCATAGCTATTAGGCAAGAAAAAAATATCAAGGGCATCCATATGGGAAAGGAAGAAATCAAGCTATCACTATTTTCAGATGATATGATAGTACACTTAGAAAAGCCTCAAGACTATAAAAAAAAAGCTCCTAGGAGCAATAGGTTTGTATTGTAAAGTGTCAGGTAACAAAATCAATACCCCCAAATTAATGATTTTCCTATATATACACAAATAATGAAAGAGCAGAAAGAGATAGTTAAAAAACAATCCTGTGCATAATTGT